GGGCTGCATTCTTCGGCAACATTGTAGACTTGCAGCGGGGACAAGTGTAGACTTTCTGCATTGGGGGCACAGGAACAAGTGACCATTTAGCAACAAGTGCGATGTATTATCCGTATCTAAAAATGAAGTGACTGTTTTGAAACGAGCAATATCTTTGGTGACCGAATAGCAACAAAGTCCATTTATAGGGTACCAATTAGCGACGGCCCCCTTACACCACACTGCAAACTCTCTAGTAGGACGTAGTGCATGGTGAGATCAATGCTATTAGACGAATTCTGCTGAGTTGAATTCCTAGTGAGAATTCATTGTGAGACTATGTATCCGGAATTGCCGGAAAAATTGATGGAGGAAATTCACTGTGAGATTTGCACACAGAGAGCGGGTAGTGCCATGAACGACAGCTCCAAGCGAAAGGTGGCATTCCGGTTCAAATCAGCTTCCGACGTCGACCTCTTAAAAGAGGTAATGCACATTCAGCCGTTCGATGCTCCTTATGGAGCTGTAAAAACACGTTGGGAGAGGTTGCTGCAAACATGTGCATTACACACGGCGACACTTTGACGCTGTTTCCTGTCGTAAGCGGTTCGACGATTTGATCGTCGCATTCAAGGAGGACAAACTGAACTCCCTCCGTGCATCAGGCACAGAGGAAGAGTACAATGAGCGAGAACAATTGATGCAGGACATCGTGGACCTGGTAAGACATGCATATTGGACATCGCATTAGATGTTTCGGTGGATAGATGAGCCATCAGCCCATGATGGTCATCGTGGTGTCCATTCTGCAAATTGTAATCTGAAAAGTAATACTACCTCTGTCCCCAAATATTGCAGGCGAACATTCCAGAGTACACCAAATTCAAATACAAGGAATCTGTATTTAAAAGTTTTTACTGGAGTAGTACAAATCTATTCAAAGTCGACGACCAAAGCGTCCATCATCTGAGTGAGTTCTTCCAACCGATCTTCTTCTTCCAGCCGCAAGTTCATCATGTCGAGCGCCAAAAATCAGCTTGAAAATTCAAACTGCGCGGGACCTTGTAACGGTTGTCACCAGCTGCGTCGACAATTGCAGCAATAACACGCTATAGCGTATGTAAACTTTTCTATATTAAATAAAAAAAAATTCCTGATAAAGAGGCCTAGCAAGAGCCCCGACTTGAACGTTGAGAACGTTTGGTGTATTCTAGCCTGCCATGTTTACGGACAATTTGACAATGTGTCTGATTGGAAGCGTCAAATTCCTGTGTCGTGGAAAATGATAGGTACTTACTACTTGAAGATGCTTGTGGTCAGCATGCCTACGCGTTTGGCTCAAGTTGTTTTGAATATTGGCGGTAGTATCGACTATTGGCGTAGTGCGCATATAAATATTTCGCGAAATTCATTCCGCGATTTCTAGTTTCACTACTTAATAATATAGGTTTAGATATTTACACTTACACCACACTGCAAACTCTCTAGTAGGACGTAGTGCATGGTGAGATCAATGCTATTAGACGAATTCTGCTAAGTTGAATTCCTAGTGAGAATTCATTGTGAGACTATGTATCCGGAATTGCCGGAAAAATTGATGGAGGATATTCACTGTGAGATTTGCACACAGTGAAAACTTTTTCCTTGTGAGCGGGTAGTGCCATGAACGACAGCTCCAAACGAAAGGTGGCATTCCGGTTCAAATCAGCTTCCGACGTCGACCTCTTAAAAG